TTCCCCAGCCAGCATGGCTGGCTGGGGAATTCTGGGAGTTGAAGTCCACATATCTTAGGTTGAGAAACACTGCTCTAGATCGTGTTGGAGGAAAAGGAGCAGCTGCAACGATGTCACCCAACGCTCTTCTTTTAAATGCTGGTCCTCCCCCCCTTTTTTTCCTGTTCTCTATTTTAACTGCAGCCGGTATCCACAGCCTCAATCTCTCTGGCAATTGGCACGGGACCTGGCAGTTGCCCTATTCTGCCAGGTGCCTTGGCACCCAGCCTGGCCTCCTTGGATCGATGTTGGCATTGCGAGGATCTTGAGTTGCGGCCGCAGGGGAAGGTTGTGGAGGAGGAAAGTGGCCTCTGATCAAGGTGTCCTTGTTTGGCAGTGTCTCCTGTCACCTTCCCTTCTGTCTCTGCAAGGGGGACTTGCAACACTGGCAGCCCTGCAGGAAACGGGGGGGGGGGGCACGTTGCCATCCTGCAGCCCTGCCCTGGTTTGTCGACAGCCAAGGTGCTCTTTAATGGCCGTAGATAAAACAGACCCCCGTTTTTGCTGAGGGTTGCAAAGAGGCTTGTTTGTGTTTCGGTTCAGACATTGCCCTAAGAGGGTATGATTGGTTGAAACCTTACACTTTCTCTCTGGGGTCTGTCCCAACCCTGAACTCGACTCAGATGAAAAGTAGGCTGTCCAGGATACCCCGTGTATCCTGGATGGAGAAGAGACATCCCAGAATTCTCCTGTAATGGCCCATGGAATTCTGGGATCCCCCCCCCCCCATTTGTATACTAATGCCCTCTTTCTCCAGGGAGCACGGAGCTCTCAGAACAAGCTGCCAAGCGTCTGCAAAAGAAAATAAAAGGCTTATTTCTCCCACCCTGACTTCACAGGAAAAAACTGGGTTTGTTTAAGGACAGCAGGGACTCAAATAAAGGAACGGAAGTTCCCGGCGCAAGGGACGTGGTGAGAAAGTGAGATAACAGATGAGTTTGTACTGCTGAGCCCGGAACGAGATTGAAGCGGCGGGTGGAATCATGCCGCTAAAAGTGCGAGTGTGAAATTGCTGGATTTTTGCCAGCATTGTCTAGCGTTCAGCCCAGCAGCCGGTCACAAGTGTCCCAGACGTTCCTGGTCAACCCGCTGCACGATTTGCATGGAGGCTTTGGGTCCTCCAGGAAACGGAGAAGTTTCGTGTGAGTCTGATGTGCGATGGCAGCCTTCCCCACCCCACGACATAAGTGGGAACAGTTGAAATGGTGGCCTGTGATGGGGAGGATCACATTCAGGGCTAACTTTGTGGCTTTGTCTGTTAGGCCAACGGTTGTGCGTGTGATCAGATTAGTTCTTGTAGCCCTGCGGAAAGAGCTCTATTCATTTTAAACCTCCTTTTGTCATCTTCTGAGCACTGAAAATCATCATCTCACTGCCCTTCCCACCCATTGTGTTGTGATTCTGGCCACATCCAGTACTTTCAGGTCTAGTGCACTGAGAATTGGGTTCCTCTTTTTTTTTTTTACCTGCATAAAATATAAAATTCTCTCTCTCTCTCTCTCTCTCTCTCACACACACACACACACACACACACACCCCTGAATGTTGGGATTTGATGAACGGGTCTGGGGATGTTGGCAGGTCTCACGTTTCTGGGCAAGCCCTGCAGATGTTTTAGAAACGTGCTTTGCAAATGGGCAGCTAGGAAAGTGTATGCTTGTGCTCCCTTGTTTCAAATCGGAAAGACGAGATTCCTCGCTGGGAAGAGAGAGGCTTTTCTCCTGCCATCCACGAAAGGCTTAGAGCCACCTGATCTTTTTAGATGTTTTTAAGAACATGCACAGCCTCCGAACAATCCCCAGCCCAGCCTTGTGGAACCAGCATCCTTGAATCTTCTCTTTTTCACCCATGGGCAGAAGGGCCCTAAGTGGTGGTTCAGAGTGCCAGCTTGCTTTCTCCCATCTCCTTCCCGGCCCGGGCTCCGCGAGAGGTGCCAGGCTTTGGCGAAAGTGCCTCCGAGCCACGTGGACGAGCAGACCCAAGCGAGCAGCCTTCTCTGCTCAATGGTGACTTCAGGCTGGAAGCACGAAGCGCCGATTAGCTCCAGGCCCCGCAAAGCATTCTTTCCTTGCTGAGCTCAGCCGCGACCGAGGGGGGCGGTGGCGCTGTCTGCAACTCCGCTGGGACAGCCGAGGCAAAGGTGTGTCGGTCTGTATTTTTCACCTCTAATTAGAAGTGGTTTAGAGGGAGGAGTCCCTTTTGCCAGGGAGGGGAAATCAAATGTCCTCTTCTCCCCCCCCACAACACACTAGTGACCAGGGAAGCCAAAACTGCCAGCCACGGTTGGTCACAAGTCTGAGTAGCTTTAAGATGACATCCCCGAAGCAGTGCTGTGGCTAAACCCCGATTCCTGGAATAGCTAGCTGTCTAACTAGCATGGTTCTTCCCCCTGTCCTGTAATAATTGCCGCATGAGAAAAACGCCTTGCTGCAGGAAAGTGCGTAGCCCCAACCTTCACGCGTTTCTGCAGCTGGAGTCTCCCAGGTGCCCTAATCCAGACACCCACCAGCCTTTGCATCTTCTGTTCATGTCTGTGAAAAAGCGACCAGAATCGGGCAATGTGCTGGACCGGAGTTGGGTCGTTGAGCACAGGGTAGGAATCCTAGCTACTATTGTGGTGTGTTATTTGAAGCAGGCCATCTCATGAAGCCGGGGGGGGGGGGGGGGGGGGGGGGCGGTGCGTGCATGCATAGCTTGTTCTACGACATACAACGTGTGGCTTTTGTTAAACCTGGACTTTGGCTTTTTGAATTGCATGAAACTTTTGAATTGCGTGACTTTTCAGTTGCATGAAACTTGAGGCTAGGGGTGGGCAACCCACCGCCCGTGGGCGCCCGTGGGCACCCCTGTGCGCCCCTGTGCTCACAGAAGCCTCCCCTGCTTCATTTTGGGATTCTGCGTGTTTAAAAAAAATGTTTTTCCCCCTTTCACGTGTTTCGTTAAGTTATGGGAGACTCCAGTCCCTCCCCAAACCCTTCTCCTCCACTCTCTTCTCTCCCAATGCAAAAACCAGGCTGTCACTTCTCAAAGCATCTTTATTAAATTTATATAAAAACACAATAATTAAAAAAAAAAACAAAGGACCCTCCCCCAAATCCAAATGCTCCCCCGTCCGAATCTCTTTTTAAGATCCTACTCTCTTTGTGCCCCCCTCTTGAGAACAAATGCCCCCCCTGCACACACAGACACACTCACGTGGAGCCAGGACAGATGGGGCGGGGGGGGCAGAGAGATATTGCTAAAAGGCGACCAGATCATTTTGATTATCAAAGCATCCCCAGAGGGAGAATCCTCCTCTTTTTGTGGTTCTTGGGGGGGGGGGACTAACCAATTCTCCCCAGCCCTGTGAAAGCGCTCCCCCTTCCCTGAAACCCAGCATTGCCAACACGTCAGCGACACACTGCCCCGAATTGCGGGGGCCACAAAGGATGGCGGGTCACAGTCTGCGGGTCACTTCTTTTGCGGGGTGCTTAGTTTCTGCATTCCTCGGATCTTGTCTAGCAAGTCAGCTATGAACACCTGGAGGGAGAGAGAAGAAAAAGGCTCACCCAGCCCCTCCAGCTGGCCCTGAGTAAAACTTACTCCCCTGCAGAATTAAATCTGCAAGATCCATGCAGCTACCTAGCTTAAAGGGGTTGCTTGAGCTGGGATTGCGAAGCAGAGCCTCCATGGACCGAAGCAGTCTACCCCCAAACGGGGGCTGTTGCTTTTCCTTGCGCTGCTCCTGTTCCTGCCTTGCAACCTGGCTCCCCCACCTCACCCCAAATCTCTCAAGTGCTCTGTTTCAGGAGGCCAGGCTTGGGAGAAGGGGCCGGGCGAGGGGGGGGGGAACCAGCCCCCCCCGGCCCTCCTCCCCTAACAGGTGCTGAGCGGGATGAGGAGGACCCACAGAGGCGGAGGCAGCAGCTGTTTTGCAGCTGCTGGGAAAGAGATGGTAGGGACTAGAACCCCTCCAGGGGGAGTTTTTGTTGCCAGGAGGGGGAGAGAAACTGGCCACTGTGAAGATAAATAAGTTGGTTGGAGAGCAAGGGGGTGTTTAGTCTAATAAGCCAACACTCACCTCCGTGGGCTTGTAGCAATCGACCAGAAGTTCCTGCAATGTTTTTTTTGGGGGGGTTGGGGAGAGAAAACAACAGAATAAAGATTCAGATAAGCTCCATCCTGCTGGGATCTGACGGCTCTTTTCCAAAGCTCGCCATCGGTCCAACGTTGAGAGCTCTGATTTTTTAAAATTCCCCTTTGTTATTATTTTTTTAAAAGGTTACACATCCCAGCTGGATCTTATGTCTGCCTTTGGGTGTTGCTTGGAAGGACCCACCCAGGGTTTTGGTCTTCTTGTGCCCCTGGTGTTAGAGAACAAAACACACACACACACCCTTTCTCAAGCCCCTCTTGTAATGTGTGTGCAAAAAGCAAGATTTTTCTCTTCCCTGTCCTTTTTACCTTCACCCTGGCGCTCCGCGATTCGTCGCTCTCCATGTCCAAAAGTTCATCCACATCTATTTCTAATTCGGGAATTTCTTCTTCCTGGAAGAATAAGGGTGGGCAAACTTAAGTCCCACATGTGATTCCTCTTGCCGTAATCAAATAGAGAGAGAAACAGAGAAACAGACCAGGCTGGATTGGCCCCGGGGGCATTGCCTCGATGCAACAGGCAGTCTCCAATCATCCAATCTGAAACCTCCTGTAGAAAAATTGGGCCCCCACCACATGCTGAGCCGCGTGAGTTCATTTCT